ACGTAATACGAAGAATAAGAGATATACGTATAAATACGAAGAGAAACAAAAAGGATTAAAATAATAATCCAAAATAAAAAAAAAACAATTTTGAGCAAAATAGGTGAACGAGGAGAGAAAGAAATCGTTCCAAATTTTCAAACGATGTAAGTAAACCATTTTTCATTTCATTCAATTATTTCATTTATGGTGTTTCGTATTATTTAAATATATGTATAATAATATCAATGCTTCAATGTGTTGGGATTCACCTGGCTTTTAAGTTCCCGTCTCGCCGATATCTAATGACAATGTCTTTTTGATTTTCTCTTGGCATTAATCAGTTCTCTATACTTGCTCTTATCGTTGTAAAGGAACGCGTGCGTTTGTGTGTGTGTCTATAGATAATATGTATATACATATTATACTTACTTTTACGTTCATCTATCTCTATATGTGTTTCTAGTTTAACTATTAGTATTAGAAACACGTATACATGTAAACGGAACGGTGAATGCATCTAGTATCCAACCGATTGATTCAAGTGGGTCGTTAAAGCAACGCGATAGAAACCGAGATCGATGCATATACACATGTATACACACACACACATTCGAGTGTACGGTTACTTTGTCACGGAAAACCAGTTTTATTACCGTTCGTTCCATCGTCTTTTAACCCGAACTTGTTTAAATTATTACCAATAGACGGTATTTCGTATTATTTTATCATATTTTCTTTCATATTTTTGTTTTCTCTTCTTTTTACATATTCTCATCGACAATTATTCATACGATTTTTTCTTTCATTATGTGTATGCGCGATCAATGTTATATGTAACAAAAAGAGATGCGTTATTTAATATACTACATCATATGTTCGTGATTGACACGAGTACGATAACGAACATTAAAACGTCTCTCTATCTCTCTCTCTCTCTGTCTCTTTTTCTTTCTTTTGCGTGCTTTGATATTCACCAAAACATGAACACAACCAACAACAAAAGAAAATGAAAATGAAAATGGAAATGAAATCCAGTGATAATGAACATGAAAATTGTCAATCGGCCAATTATTACGTGCCAATTAATGACGTCACAAATCATCGTTGTTAACGATTGATCTAGATCATTAAATTGTGATCGGTACCGAAATAAAAAAGAACCAGTATCAAAATACTTACGATTCATATTAAAATCATTCACATTTGATAAAATATATATTATAACTAGTTATGTTTTTTTTTTTTCTCTCTCTGTTTTCTCCAAAATTACAGATCGTTGTTGCATTCGCAAAAAGAAAAAAAAGATACAAAATACTGTAATATCCTACACGATCTTATCAAAATGATCTGAATTATCGAAGAAGCGAATAGAAGATAATCGAATACGATAAAAGGAAGGGAAAAAGTATCTAATATATTATTTCTCATTATTATACATTATAGTTTCGAATATTTAACACAATGGTGGGGTCACAAAGAGATCTATTAAATAAAAATCAAATCACAAATCGAAGGTGTTATTATTACAATCGAATTTATTGCAAATAATTATAAATAATATTAAAAAAAAAAAAAGAGTAACATTTTTATATTACCATCTACAAATCTCTGGCATATAATATTTTTCGATTAGATTTTCAAGGCTGACTGTTTTGTTAGTGCATCGAAGTAGGAAAGTTAAAAGATAACGAGTGTGTCGGGTGATACATCCATCGTACCAAAGACAAATACATATATAAAAATACACACAGAAAATATATATATATATATACACACATTCAAAAACACACACACACACATATACGAAACTAAACGTCCCAGAAACCCTCGGAAGGCGGTCCGAAGAGAGTAACGTTACCCTCCCCTCGCAAACTACGCAGTTACGTTCGACGAGTGTCATACGCGCGCTCAGAAGCGTGCGCAGGAACGCGCCAGTGCGTTGGAGGAGAAGAGAGAGTGAGAGAGAGAGAAATAAAAATAAAAATAAAAAGAAAAAAAAAGAGAGAGAGATAGAAGCAATAAGCCGATGTGCGAAATCTGTGCGCGCGCGAGTTTGTTACTCTCTCTCTCTCTCTCCCTCCTCCCCCCTCTCTCTCTCTCTCGTTCTTTCCCCCCTCTCTCTTTCTCTCTTCCCTGCCCTTTCTTTCTCTCTCTCATTCCTCCTCTTTCTCTCCTTATTTTCCTTCAACGTGTTTCTCTTCCAACCATAACCGATGCGTCATCATTTGAGAGATAAGAGAAAGAAAGAATAACAGAGAAAGAGAGAGAGAGAGAGAGAGAGAGAGAAATAAAGATCACAAAAATGAAGAGAAAAGAATAAAAAGAAAAAAAAAAAAAAATGGGAAAAGAAACAGTAAATACATTTTATATGTGTATTTGTAAAGGGAGATAGATATATAGGATATGGGAGTCCCTTCGTAGGGCGTGTTAAAAGAGTGAGACTTAATATATAAATTAATATTAATATATTTTTCTTCTTTTTTTGTTTATTGTGTTAGAATCGATGCAATCAATCATTATTGACTCGTTATAAATATATGGTACATTAAATATATCATTTTATTATACAATTTGTTGTAATATTACTGTAGAAAATAATTTTGTAATTTTTTTGTACAAATTCAAACGTGTTTTAACTATAAATTGTATATCGAACACAGAGAAGAAAGTTTGTTACAATCGGTTAGATATATTATATTTGTCACGAGAGAGTTAGTTTAGTTTTGATTATATTCGATTATTAAAATACATTTTTATATAATAGTTGATCTTATAAGAGTCGGATTAAAAATTTCTTTTATTTAGTCTGAAAGAATAATAAAAATATAAAATAAAATAAAAATAATAAATTAAAGATAATCTTTTCTCTCTCTTATCCAGGGGGTTCTGTGTCTCTTATTTCTCTTTCTCTTGATTTTCGTAGTTGGTGTCTTTAGCCCGGTTGACCCTAACCGGTAAATTTACAACGTTGCGAACGCGTGCATTTCTTGAGAAGTAGGAAGAGAAGGAGTAGGAGTAGAAGCATAAGGGGAAGGGGAAGGAGATAGTGTAGTTGATAGAGGGGGTAAGGAGGGGAAAGTTGCAGCACACGCACACAAATATACGCGAGCAACTCGGTTCGACGACGTGCAACTTCGGTTACCCTCGGGTTCCTTCGGTTTACCTCGGCTCGGTTCGCGACGTTGGTTGGGGAAGAAAACGAACGCTAAAAAAGAGAGGTGGGGTTGACGAGGGAGGGTTTCTCCCGCCACTCCGCTATACGCTTTTATCCCCACCACCGGTCAACTTCGGTCAAGTGTTGCGCGCGCACAAGTGGTGGGGATAGAGGTGGGATAGAAACGTGCGGCCGCCGAAGTTGCTCGGAAACGAAAGCACAGAATCATTATATCGCTAGACTTCGAGGAGAGTAGACGTGTTTCAAGTTGTTCAGGCAAAGCTAAGATCTCGTGCTTCCTCTATCATTTAATAATAATAGTGGGACGACGACGACGACGACGAAGAAGAAGATAATAATTCTGCGGATACGATAATATATATATATATATTATATGTATATATATATTTCGTGTTTTACCGAGATTGTTTATTTTTTTGTTTCTCTCTGTCGCAACTCATCGTATTTTTACTCTCTTGATATATACAGTTTTAATTTATATTTTTTATAGTTAAAAAAAAATATATATATGAATTATAGTAAAATACGATTTAATAAGGAACATTATTTTACGTTTTGTTTGTTCGTTCATCAATACGTTTATGAAAAAAGACATTAAAGACAACGGGTGTGAGTTTTGCAACACAACGACGTGAAGAAATCTGCACGTGGGTTTTTTTTGTTGTTGGTTGGTTGTGGAAAATAAAATAGATCGATCCGCCGTCTATCTGAGGTGAGGTACGGTGGTTCGTTCTTTCTCGACAGAAAAAAAATAAACCAAACAAGTATAAACTTTTTCATCTATTCCATAGAGAATCGATAAAAATTCTACGAACATTTGATTAAAAACCAAACAACTAAAAAAAGAAAAAAAAAAGTATCGAACTTTCTCCATCATCAATAAATTAATCGTGAGTTTATTAAAAATATTTCTTGTGCAACGTGTAAAGGAACCGAATAATTCGTATTCCTTCCTTCGAGAAAGAGAAAGAAAAATTATAGAAGACAAGACAAGAATAAGAAAAGGAAGTACTATAATATTTTTCTTTTTTATTTTTCTTGCGGTAAAAACCCGTTTACTCGTGTTTTGCCCGTTGTTGTTTCTCTAAAAGACTTAGTTAAAGAAAATTATAAAACAAGAGAGAGAGAAACACAAAGGGAGAAGAGAGAGAAGCAACATTACGTGAACACGAATTAGTGAAGATCAAGATCGGTATCTTCTAATTTCGTCGAGTTAAATCTCAGCACCTATGGAAAGTGATCCGTTCGAGGATCCACCTTACGGACGTTTCAGACGTCGAATTTAAGTGACGACAACAACAACAAAAAAACAAAAATCTACGACAAGAGTGACCAAAATTTAAGGGAAGAGAGACAGAGAACTTGAAAGACTTTTTTTTTTCCAAAAAAAAAAAAAAAAAGGAAAGAAAACTAAAAAACGTAAAGACCTTATCGAGAAACGGACGTGTGAGGGTTTCTCTCGAAAATTACAAACATTTAATCGTTCTTTTATTAAACAATACATAAAAGAACTATAAAAAAAAAACAGTTTTTTTCGTTCGATACATACGTGGTTACTTTTTTTTTTAATCACGAATTTCGGTAATCGTTTAATATAAGATATTTATAATAAGAATAGAGAAAATAGAATAAAAGACATTGACATTGGGGGAGGAAAGAAAGAAGAAAGTTTTTTTCTGTTCACGTGTGAACGCGTGGGGGGGTTGATATAAATTGAAAAAAAAAAAAAAAAAACTCATTTATCAACGCAGAAAAGAAAAGAAGGTATTTAAAGAAAATGGCTATACCATTTTTAATACCTGCCGCCGAAGAGGACCAGCAGGAGTTCTCCTCTCAACAGCTGCAAACAATTCTGGCCTTGTATTCAGCACTAGACCGATATCTGCGGACCAGAACCAATACTATGCCAACATGTGAGTTAATATTGGAGTATATTGTTATTTTATTTTTAACGACAGACATTTCTACTATTATGGAAATAATACGAGTAATAAATGAAGAAGTTAATGATCTCTTGATTAAAACAATCAAGAAAATACTAATGCGAATAACAAAAAACTACAAAGAGTGATTTAGAGAATATCAATCTTGGATAATTCATTTTTTTTTTACTTCGGACCTTAATCTTCAATAACTATTTGTAAATTTGTAATATTATTTCTTTAAATCTCGAGACTGCTGTTGGATAAGTTTTTTTTATAATCATATTGATATTATTATTTTAGATTTACTTTGTTTTTTTTTGTTTTAATTGTAAATATTAAATAAAAATGTTAACCTAATCGAACCGAAATATAATACTTTAGGATAATATATATAAACACGTTGTATCAAAGATTTCGTTTGTTTATAGATACAAACGATGTAGCCAAATAAAATTATAATTATTTATAATATGATTAGATATACAAAGGATAGATAAATAAAAAAAGAAAAAAAAGCAAAAAAAAAAAGCTAAAAGTTATGTAGAAATCAAAGAAAAATCAAAGTATCAAGAATAGATAATTCTGTAAAAAATGAAGAAAAAAAGAAACGTATTATAAATATCTAAGGTAAATTTATCTTTTATGTTAGAGTGTTAAATAATTAATTCTCGGAATGTTATATAGTAGTATATGATGAACCCCGCGTGTGTGTTGTGTTGGTTGATTCTCTTCCGGTTAGGTGCAACACGTGGTTGTTGTGTTCCGCGTAACGATTCTCAAAGTGGCGCGCGATTGTTCGAACGAACGAAATTACGAGTTTGAAATTTTTTAAAATTGTTTCGAGTGAGTCTCTTCTTTTTTTATCTTTTTTCTCTTCTTTTTATATATATA